CTTGGACGACGTCATCAGCATCACTCCCAACGACACTCTTGCATCAGCGACAGTGTCCTCGGCGGCGCCAGCACCGAACACGGCAGCCGCAGCGCTATCATTGACGTTACCAGCAGCAGCATCGCCAGAGGCGGCAGCAACAGCATCGGCGCTAGCACTAACGCCAGAACCAGTAACGCTACGCACAGAGGTACTCACGGCGACGGCATCGAGGACTTTATGCTGGTCGCAGTTTTTCGGAGCTTGCCGCTCTTTGGTCACTGCGTGCTATTGTTGTTGAGGTCAGTCCCAGTGGAATGCAGCAACTTTTCTGGACGTGGGCTGATGCACTACCTGCGCCACGGCAGGCCAACAACCACCTGAATGCAATGCATCAGTGTAATTCGCCGAAATCTCCAAGTACTTCGTTGTGTCTTGCGATTCTCCCTGCATCATGGCGTAGGGTTTTGTGCATCTAACTCGATTATGGTTATGTTCGAGGTCCTGTGGACGTGGAGCGTGGACTACACGTGTAGAATCTGAATCGTCACAGTTTTAGCTAAAAAGCTTTCGTGAGCCTTGTTCTTACTGCCTGGACGAGTCGTGGCTTACACGTCCTCTCAAGGCCTATCCAGGGCATACACTGGATGGGCTATATCGCCTACTCGGTCCACCAAAAGAGCAGTTGGCTGGGTATTGACCAGACGTGAAGGCCTCGCCGCGTCGGATGAGGGGCAAGTCGGAGTTGATGCCCTCGATCTTGCCGCTTTCTACGAACGTAAATCCCCCCGATGGCCTTTCCGTCCTAGCCAAATGCATTATCTGCCGCTGGGGTAGATACGGACGGGGCCTTTAGCACAGTATCGCCTCCAGCTCGAGCATCCTGCGACCGCATGGCCCACTGCCTCCGCGCATCACTAGAGGGGCGGTTGATACTTGGCCTTCGAGGCGAAAGGGCCGAGGTACTACCCTAGAAATACTGCGTTTCTTTATTCGCATGTCCCCAGCGCACGACCTGCATCGTTCCCAAGGTTACTGTTCCGCATCGTCGTCCACTTGCTGCCAAACCCAGTTCAAAGTACGCTGCCACATCTTTTCCCACCGGACTCCACTGACTGTTTTTGGCCCACACCTTACCCGGAAGAATCGTCAACCATCGTCCAGCCGCGTTCTTGCCGTCAGCGATGACCACGGGTATTAATCGTGGACCGTGCGTTACCAGCTAGGGCCAACAATTTTTTCAGTAGATAACCCGCGCTACTGGTGTTCCATCACATCATTTGTTCCGTGGTGTGCGGGACCCTAAGGGAAAGAAAGTTAATTCACCCGTTGGTTCAGGACGAGGGAAGGAGGTGTGGAGGACTAACAACGGTGAATGTCTGATACTCGAGTTACGGAAGCCCCGGATGGTCAGACAAGGCTGTAATAACGCTTCGGTGCGTTGCTGTTTTGCTCTCAGGACGGGACCTTGGGTCGGTGATACGGTGTCAGTTAGTGATCGGCCTATGTTCTGGGCGCCGCTATTGATATTGAGCAACAGGAAGATACATTGCAGAAAGGCTTGAATGCTCGTCGGCCGCGCCTTGCCGAGGATGCACAGTAAATCATCGGTAGCATGATAACCCTACCGTCACAGGCGCCACCATCGATTTTCACCCTCTATGGTTCCTCGGACCTCTTCCTCTCAATATAATCAAGGTACCAATCATTGTTCCGAGGTTACAGGCTCTCAGTCATCAGGTTCCGCCGCCGCCCGCAGTCGCAACTGCGTGTATCCAAGTGCAGACGGACCATCGTACCGCGGCTATCCCTCCATTGTCGGGTTCTATTCGCTTCCAAGAGGATGGGTGCGGCAAGTGACGGGGGCTGGCGCTCGAAAGATGCAGAGAGGACCACCGCGACAGACCATGTCTGTTACATGTTCTAATAGAAAAGGACGGGTGCGTAGCCCCGTCTGTTTCTGTACTGTCAGATTGACGATCTCGTAGGGCACGGGCAAATACGGCGGCTGAGGTGGTGTGGCAGTGTGGCGCTCCGACACGCCCTTAACCTTATGCATCGCACACCCTGAACCCGCGGGAGTATGAGGTCCCGCCAAAGATTGGCGCTGCAAGTATATAAGGACCGTACAGGATGTGGGAAAGAGTGTGTTTCGACTTGCCCTTTCGTAACTACTAGCCACCTGGTCGTCCTGACACACATCGAACATCTGCTATGGCTGGAGATAGCTCTGACTGCAGCACCCCCAACTCAGTCAACGACGAGATGGAGTTTGTTTTTTCGACCACAACAGTTTCCACCGCGGGCATGGCGGCGCCGACTGTCCCTGAGTACGTTGTCCATTGCTGATGCTCTCTGACTACTTCCAACTGTCTGCAGTCCCATCGTCCCGCAAGAGGCATTTGTCGCCGACGAGGAGACGCACAGCGGCAGCGACGGTGGCGACGACGAGGACGACGAGGACGACGATGACGATGAGGAGGACGGCCCGGGTATAGCAGGGATATTGCGCTCATTGTGCGCCACATGTTGGACGATCACTTTGAGGATCCGACAGTCTAATATTTTGCTCTGCAGGGGTGTTGAATTTCGCGGACGTGCGGAGCCCACAACTGCGGTGGCCAATCGCGGCGTCCGCCGCCCTACTGGTCCCCAGCCTCTTCAGCTGCCTAGTATGTCTGGGAGCTCATCGTCATGTGTGTTAGTGCTGATTATCGCTCTCAGAGAATGGTACGAGCAAGAACACGAAGGGCACGAAGAAGGGCACAAACGACGATACGAACCAGAGCACAAACAAGGGCACTAAGAAGTAGTAGGCCTGCTAACCAGTCTTTCTACGGAAGAAGCAATACCGCCATCTCTCCACAGCCGCTACGTCCTATCAATCTGTGCTATTTCTATGACTAAGCGTTAACATGTTTTATATCTCGTGTCTTCCGTCTGAGACTCTTGATTGGATCTTATGCACATGCAATCCTGTAGACTCCCATGCATATTTGCAAACACATTAGTTACGTGCGATACATTGTGTAATCTAGTACACGCACTATGATAATACCTACTCTCATCTCCCACTACGTTTCGTGCGACCGAACAACTCGGCGTTGCCACGCGCACAGATGCGCGTTGGGCCGCGGTAAGGCGCATCATTACGCGGCCTCGGGCGGGTGGACATTAAGGTTTGTACGCGCGTGCTTAAGTCCGTTGTAACGTCTCAAGTCCATCCCAACGTGATATTAGGAACCCGCACTGATTGTATTCAATGTATTAGACTGAGCTGCGAAGCACCGCCAGAGGGCCCCTTTGGGAACGGCAAGCACAGTCGATTGATACGTCAGCCAAGCTACTAAGATTGCAAGATATAAGGCGAGAAGAGGCGTCGCTAGTCGCGAAGGGCCGCTGTGTCTCTCGTCTTATATCGCCCGCAAGAACTTCCCTGCCCCTTCCCGACTATGTCGGACTCAGGAGAGAAAGACTCGGAGGATAATGCCTCTGTTATCGAGCCCAAAGTAAAAGTACTGGTGCGCACAGAAAAGCCAGCAGCCGTCAAGGCCACGCTTGTCGCCGAAATTCGCGTCTCGCTTGCTGAAGTCGGTCCTGCCGTTGTCAAGGAGTCAGTCCATGCATCGTCAGCATCTTCGGTGTGCTCACCGCCGACATTCCCGCAGGCCAAGTGTCACTTCGCATCCTCAGGTTGCCTATACCTCTGATGAAGAGACAGAGGACGACAGGAGCGACACCAAACCCGCGAACGATGAAGACAGCAAAGTCACGAATAAAGAGGAGGACTTGAACAACGAGGATGATAACGATGAGGTCGATCTGGATGCCATCCTCGACGAGATGTAAGCTCGGGGTATGTTCTTGCGGTCGGCTGGCTTTCACACCGGCTGTTCCAGGGGTTTGGAGTCGCGCGCCCCGGCAGACCGAACGACCGTGGTTAAACGAGTCAACGCACCACCCAGGCCTGTATGCTTGAAACGTTCATCGAGCGGTGAGATCCAAAATGCTGTACACTCCGCTAGCGCAAGTATTAATAGGTAAAGACAGATTCGAACCTTAGGGACAGTAAACCGAAGAAGAAAGCGAAGAAGACGAACACTGCGCCACCTGATGCCACGACCACCACAGAGCCTAGCCAGCGTAAGGGCGAGGATACGTGAGCCTAAGCTTCGAATTACCTAAGCGATGGATGCTCTGTTGTATCAATACTGTTATATGTAGTGTTGGCCTCACACCAAAGATCGTCAAGCGTCACAAGCGAATAGTTCTAGAATAAATTCTTGATATGAGACTTACATGATTGCGCCGGGGGGGGGGGTCGGCTTAGCGATTCGTGAGATACTTTCAATCACCCAGCGACTCGATGGCGGGGTTCGGATCGGGCATCGCGGGTTGCTGTGTTTTCCCCGGCAAAGATAGCCGAAGGGAGATCATCATTTCAAGACTCGAGGCTGAACATGTGAAGAGCGTTAGAGCTCAATCGCAGCACCGCCTGCATGCCGCTCACATCAACCGTACCCCGTGGAGAAGTCGAGGACTTACAAACAATCACTTCTATTCAGACTTCCCGCCAACAGGCCTGCTCTTCTCGCCGTCTTTGATTACGGTGGGACTATCTTTCTTTCCTCGAGGCCCAGTGGCGCCTCTGAAGCCACAAGATGTCGGCGCTGCAGTCCACAAATTTGGAGAGTGAACTCACTCTTCATTGGCCTCGGGGTTGCCGAAGGCTTGAGGTTCAGATCTTGGGCCCCGGCGACGTAAGAGCGTGGTTTTGTGAGATAGACAGGGAAGGGAAACCCACTGAGGCTTGTTATCTGAAGTAAGCACTGCAAAGTCAACAAGGTTGCCACCGGTGAGACGAGAGCACGAATGGCACGCACCTGTCTGGAACAGGGAGCTCATAGTTGTCGAGCAAGCGGGTGGACTGGGGCAAGGAGAAGGCATCGCGCGCACGTATATATGTGCGTTCAGACTCCTGAATTTCAATTCGTCATATTCTATCTGACTTGGACTGAAGCTATACCATTGACGCTTTTGTGCATGTTTGGCAGCTGTAGCTCGGAAGCAGAGCGGAAGTGGATAGCACTGTCGCCGTGAAGATGATATGCCATCCTGCCAAAGCAAGAGCTTGAGCAATTCTGGATGGCCACTATGCGTTTCAGCCGAGGACGGCGGGAAAGCCAAAGGAGCGTCTGAATTTGCAACCAAAAGCATATGCCGGGATACTATCACAAGAAGAAACGTGGCGCTACAGCTACAAAGCGAATCGCCGAGCGGATACTGAGCGCTGAGTTCCGGGGTCTATGCGTAGCTCCTGCAACGGGGACATCGATCTGCCGGTAACAGCGCTATCAACAGCATGTCCCGACACGTACAAGAATGTCCACGAACCTTCTATTGAGGACGCGTTACTACAGGCCTGGGGTTCTTGGAACCTGGAGTAGCAGTAGTGGCGTCCTTCGGTCCCCGGGGCTGAAGACCACTGAATGGGGTGGACCGTAAGCCCGACGGAGAACGGATTACAAGCTTTCAGACTCACGCCTTGATCAGCTCTTCATCCACGTCGAAGTCATCGTCTTCATCGTGGCCGACCGCCGTCGGGGTACTGCCCTCAGGTCTCGATAGGGTTAGCCTTACATTTGTTAGTGAACCGACGAAAACTCACTGGCCTGCATCGCCGGTGGTCGCTTTGGCGGGGTTGGTACGCGTGGCGTCCGACGCCGTTGAAGTCGTCAATCCGTTCTCAGTCGCCTGGCTCATCTCGTGAGAGGTGTCCGGTAGGATCAGTGATATAAAGCTCCATTTGCTGCCCGCCATTTTATGGACGCTCCTGTTGACGCGCTTTTCCATATCTGCGCCGAGTGGGCTTCGCGTTGCCACTGCCTTTCCCACAGAACAAGGGTCGTAGCCTTCTAACGCCCGATAGGGACTCCCGCGGCTTGGTTCTGCCGATTCGTCGTACGAAGATCTGCAAGGGAGCCGGTCAGCAGACGGAATAGAGCTGTAAACTCATGACAGGAAAGACAGAACGGTCTGTATGGGGACACGGAAACACACGCCTCATAAGTCCAACCCGCGGCCTCAAGCTGGATTCTGTCGCTTTAGCTCTGCAGACGCTGAGAGACATACATTCTCCGTTCGCGGGAGGATCAGAGGAAGCACCACATGGGCACGGGCATGGATGCTCATTATTGCAGACGCTGGTCCTGCGTGTATTCGGTACGGCGGATATCGCTTGCAGCCATCCAGGTGGTCGTTTGTACAGTAAAACGGTATCATCGATATCATCGAAGACAGCAACGGAGCTCGCTATTGTGTACAGCACAGAGGGTCTCTGCAACCCACGAATTATAAGCCCGATGGGACTGTTCGTGTTAGTCAGGAATTCGGATCCCCATGGTTCGTAGGAGATGATCACATACCTCAACGCACAGGTCTAGGTGGTGGTTAGCCTGAGCGCACAGGCCTGGGTGGTGGTTTACTTGCTGTTGGGTTGTTCTTGGGTCCGCGAGGCTCAAGGCCCCTGCACGACGAAATCATCAGTCAAATGCACGTTCACCTAGGACGACACACCGGCTTACGCTTCGGCAAGAGCCTCTTCAACGTCAAAATCGTCGTCGTCGTCGTCTTGATCTGCAGACGGCGCTTGCGCGTTGGTTTCAGCCCTAGCAAACGTGTCAAAAAATGTCTAGCGGAAACAGTGCGCGTGGAGGTTAGCGTACTGTGATGTCTTGCCAGCAGCGAGCTCAACGGGAGTGTCGTCTACGAGAGGACGACCCGAAGCGGCTGCGTCCTTCCGTGGCCCTGTAGCTTCGCTCATGCTCGGTGAGATTGTGCAGAGTGGTCTGGACGTCATTGCCAAATTCTCATCTGTACTTATATCATCCGAAGCCACGACATGCGCATCAAGCTAGGGTCCATGGGATCTGCCGTCGGCGAAGGGCCTAACTGGTGACCTTGGTGGCAACTCGTATGGAGTCTATTGATCCGTCAGTGGTTCAGTGCCTGTAGCTAAAGAGACTTAGTATGGTATGGTCAAGATAGGGCTCCAACTGTGAGAACGCCGGGTCACGCAGCGTTCTTGTTTCCTGACGCCACACATTCAATAAGGCGGTAATCCCACCCGCGCGGAGGCTAGCACTCGCCCTTCGCGGAGCACATGCCCAGGAAGAAGGTACCGGTAGCGCCAAACCAGTACACGGAGAAATATGAATTGGAATTTGTGCTATCTTCAGTATGACCTGGAAGAGTCTAGGCAGAACAAGGGTTGCTTTAGCCCTGTTGGTGCAGTGGTGACTCGAGAGATCAATGAAGGCAGTAGAGTAAACGTACGGCGTATTCACCTCGTTAATCTCCAGTTTCATGGCCAGACTATAGTCTGCAATGGGACGCAAACCGCCACCCATGGACTACACTTGAGCAAAGGGTGACAACGCTATGGAAATGGAACGTGGGCAAAGCGCAGCGCTTGGGCGCCTCGTGCTGACGCGATCGAGCCGGGCGCGCAAGTGAGGCTGCTTACTGACGACGACCACCCAGGATTGCCCCGGTACACTCACCCCAGCTTGCTAGTCACTGACTACTACCATGGTATGCATCTCAATTCTCTATGTTCCGCATCACCGCTTGCCTTCCTCCGTCTTCATGCAAGCCTCCCGGAGCTGACGCTGAATGACGACAGAGCCTCCAAGCTCCGTACGAGGTCCGCATGTCCAACTCGCGGGGCGTGCCCTACTTCTTCAACGTCGAGACCCAAGAGTCGACATGGGAGCCTCCTTCGGAACTCTCGCAGGAGCAGGTCCAGAAGCTGCCCGGCGCGCACTACTTGAGCAGCGGCGGCGGCGCGGGCAAGGTACGTGCGAGCCACTTGCTGGTGAAGCACAGGGACAGTAGGAGGCCAAGCAGCTGGAAGGAAGTGAGTGCTTTACCGTGGTAGGAGATATGCGAGGTTCAATAATGCGGCGATGATGCAGGCGAACATTACCCGGACGAAGGAGGAGGCGATCGAGATCCTGAAGGGCCATCAGAACGAGATCAACGGCTCGTCCGAGAGGTTCACAGAGCTCGCGTCGGTACACTCGGACTGTTCGTCTGCAAAGAACGGCGGTGATCTCGGGTCGTTCGGCAGAGTACGTCCGCTCCCCGATCCCCGCTCTTGCTGATAGACCAGAGAAGCTGATAATTGGGAATGCGCAGGGCCAAATGCAGAAGCCGTTCGAGGATGCCACTTACGCGCTCAAGCCCGGCGAGATGAGCGACATCATAAGCACGGACAGCGGTGTGCACCTTATCCTTCGTACTGCATGATTGCTCCCCCACTATTCGACTGGACTATAAATGTAAGGATACTTGTGGAGCTGTACTATTATACAAGAAGGATACGACTTTCTATCAACTCGATCTCTGTCCGCGTCCAATACGGTGTTCATACAAGTCCATGCTTCAAATTTGTTGGTACATCGATCAAGACGTAAGGTAGCGGCGGCTCAGAAGAGGGCCTGACTAGAAAGCTCCTCGTACTTCCCTGGTTTGATTTCGTTCTTGACTTCCTCGGCAACCTCTCTGTCGAATTCCCAGGACTGCTTAAGGCCGACATGCTACAAGTCATAAGCGGTGGTAAGCGACCTCAAACTCTGTCACAGCTGGGCTAAAACATACCTCAAAGAAGTCTTTGATTTGCCAACCCTGGCAGTCGTCGAGGTCAGTTCCCTTATCCTTCAAGTTCTGGTACGCCTTCTTCATCGCAATTGTCGCAGGAATGAATCCAGTGCACGGATATATCGCGAGCTTGAAGCCCATGTTGGTGCAGTCATTGGTCGTGTAGTTGCCCGTCAGGCCGTTCGGGAGCACGTTGATCATGACCGGGTGCGGGTGCATCGCTTTGACGAGCCGCTCGCACTCGTCGCGCGTGCGCGGCGACTCCATGAACGCGACGTCCGCACCTGCGGCGCACGCAGCCTTGAGCCGCTTCACGCCCTCCTCGAACGCCTCCTCGCCGGCCTTCTCGCCGCCGAACATCGTCGCGTTGCGTGCGTCCGTGCGGGCGATGATCACGAAGTCGGGGTTCCGCCGCGCTTTGACGGCGGCGCGGATGCGTTCAAGATACTCCTCCATGCTCACGACGTCCTTTCCCGTCAGCTGGCCACACCGCTTCGCTGGAAAACACCAGTCAAGAACCGCTTGTATGCCATCAGCAAATGGATAACTCACGGAACGTCTGGTCCTCGATGTGGCATCCGGCCACGCCGGCAGCCTCGTACATGGACATCGTACGCGCGACGTTCAGCGGGCCTCCGAAGCCCGTATCCGCATCGGCGATGATGGGCACGGTGCTGACGCCGACCATCATGCGCCCGGTGTTCGCGAGCTCATCAGCGGTGATCACGGAGAGGTCGGGCTCGCCAATGACGCTGCCCGATGCGCCGCTCCCGGCAAGGTAGAGACAATCGAAACCGGCAGAGTTGGCGAGGTGTGCAGAGATGCCGTCGAACACGCCTGGGCAAATCGTGCACCCGTCTGCGATGGTCTCCTCGTGAGCAAGATGCACGACAGGCAGGGTCTGGACGCGGGAGCGCGTACCTTTTTCGAGCAGCTCGCGGAGCCGCTTGGGCATTTCAGACTTATACGATACTGGGAGTGCGTCTTTCATCTCTGGGTACGACTGTTTCAGGCTTTGGTGAGTTCTGAGGTGGTTCTTAGCAGTCGAATAGCTAAAGGCTCCCTCTGTCTCCCGGCGTATATATCAGCTACATGTCAGTGTGACGTCGTGCGCAGAACGGTGAGCCAGGCATGAGCCAGGCAATGACCACAGAGTGGAGGCGCACCCCACCGCATTAGTCTAAGAATAGCCGGGATCTTTGAAATTGTATTTAACGCGGTCACGTGCTGAGAAACACGACTGCGCGTCCCAATGCTAGGCGAGG